TCCGACTTTGGTGAGTGGCATCTGAGGTCTTAAAAGCTAGTGAGCGGCCATCTAAGATGCATCAATTTGTCCCAACCCACCTGGAGCAAAGAAGAATGGGTAACACTGAAGACACAAGGGAAGTATTAGCCCAAGAGACAGAAAGGGCCACATAAACCAAAGACTTCATCAGCCTGAGACCGGAAGAACTAGAAGGTGCCCGGCTACCACCAATGACTGCCTGACAGGGAACATAACAGAGTCCCTCTGATGGAGCAGGAGAAAAGTAGGGTGCAGAACTCAAATTCTAGTAAAAAGACCAGACTTAATGGTCTGACTGAGACTGGAGGGACCCCAGAAAACATGGCCCCCGGATTCTCTGTTAGCCTAAAAACTAAAACCATTCCCGAAGCCAACTCTTCAGACAAAGATTAGACTGGACTATAAGACATAAAATGATACTTGTGAAGAATGTGCTTCTTAGCTCAAGTAGATACATGAGACTAAATGGGCAGCTCCTGTCCGGAGGTGAGATGAGAAGGCAGAGAGGGTCAGGAGCCGGTTGAATGGACATGGGAAATCCGGGGTGGAAAGAAAGAGTGTACTGTCATAGTACAGGGAGAGGGACTAGGGTCACATAACAATGTGTATATAAAGTTTTGTATGAGATACTAACTTGAATTGTAAACTTTCACTTAAAGCACAATAAAAAAAAGAATATAACCTATAGTTCAATAAACACGTAAATAAATATTCAACAATTCAGACAAAATGGATCAAAGACCTAAATATAAAACCTAAAATGATAAAGATCATGGAAGAAAGAATAGGGACAATGCTAGGGGCCCTAACACATGGCATAAATAGGATACAAACCATAACGATGCACAATCACCAGAAGATAAATTAGATAACTGGGAGCTCCTAAAAATTAAACACTTATGCTCATTAAAAAAACTTCACCAAAAGAGTAAAAAGACAACCTACAGACTGGGAAAAAAGTTTTGGCTATGACACATCTGACAAGGGAATAATCTCTAAAATCTACAAGATACTGCAATACCGCAACAACAAAAAGATAAATAATCCAGTTAAAAAATGGGCAAAGGATACAAACAGATACTTTACCAAAGAAGACATTCAGGCAGCTAACAGACACATGAGGAAATGCTCCTCATCACCAGTCATTAGAGAAATGCAAATCAAAACTACACTGAGATACCATCTTACTCTGACATTACCGGCACTAATCAAAAAAAGAAAATAACAAGTGTTGGAGAGGTTGTAGGAACACTAGAACTCTTAGGCACTGCTGGTGGGAACATAAAATGGTCTAACCACTATGGAAAACAATATGGTGCTTCCTTAAAAGCTAGAAATACCATACGATCCAGCAATCTCACTCCTAGGAATATATCCTAAAGACATAAGACCCATCACACAAATAGACATATGCACACCCATGTTCATTGTAGCATTATTCACAATAGCAAAAAGATGGAAACAACCTAACTGCCCATCAACGGATGAATGGATACACAAATTATAGTACATACACACAATGAAATACTACATAACGATAAAGAACAATGATGAATCTGCAAAATATCTCACAACATGGATGAATCTGGAGGGCATTATGCCAAGTGAGTAAATCAATCGCAAAAAGACAAATACTGTATGAGACCACTATTATAAAAACTCAAGAAAAGGTTTACACACAGAAAAAAACAATTTTTGACAGTTACGAGGGAGGGGAGGGTTGGTGAGGAGAAATCATTAACTAGATAGTAGATAAGTGTTAACCTTGGTGAAGGGAAAAACAGTGCACTATATAGGGGAAATCAGCACAACATGACCAAAGCAAAGTCATAGAAGCTTCACTGACACATTCAAACACCCTGACGGACTGAGTTACTGGGGAACATGGTCATGGGGGTCATCTAGGTCAAGTGGCATAACAAAGTTCATAAAGAAAATGTTCTACATCCAACTTTAGTGAGTAGTGTCTGGGGTCTTAAAAGGTTGTGAGTGGCCATGTAAGATACATCTACTGGTCCCATCCTGTCTGGAGCAAAGGAGAATGAAGACAAACAAAGACACAAGGGAAATAACAGTCCAAAGATTAATGGACCACAAATACTACAGCCTCCACCAGCCTGAGCCCAGAAGAACTAGATGGTGCCCAACTACCACCACCAACTGCTCTGACAGGGATCACATTACAGGGTCATGGACAGAGTGGGAGAAAAATGTAGAACAAAATTCAAATTCACAAGAGAAAAAAAGACCAGACTTACTAGTCTGACAGAGACTTGAAGAACCCCCAAGACTCTGACCCCCGGACACCCTTTTAACTCAGAACTGAAGCTACTCCCGAAGTTCACCCTTTAGCCAAAGATTAGACAAGTCTACAAAACAAACAATAACACACGTGAGGAACATGCTTCTTAGATAAATCATGTATACGAAACCAAAAGGGCAACACCTGCCCAAAAACAATGACCAGAAGGCAGGAAGGGACAGGAAAAATGGACTGACGGAAACAGGGAATTGGGGTGTGGAAGGGGAGAGTGATGACACATCGCAGGGATTGCAAACAATGTCACAAAACAATTTGTGTATAAATTGTTGAATGAGAAGCTAATTTGGTCTGTAAAGTTTTGCCTAAAGCATGATAAAAAAAGCAATATATGTATAAAATAAAAAGTTTGCCAGTTTGATAAGCAAAGCATTTCACCAGTGGGAGTTTTTTTTTTTTACCAGTGATGAACTTACTTTTCCTTGCCCATCAGGAAGTTAACCTCTGCCGCACGTTTTGGGGCGTGAGCTGGGCTGGGGACAGAGGCTAGGCTAACATCGCCACGTCTCCCCCATGGCAGCTGAGCCAGCACAGACAATGTAAATGTCCTCTAAACTGCTGTTTTTGACCCAAAGAAGACACTTTGGGTGATGGTGGATCGTACTCTTTAAACACCCTGTGTGTGAGGTCGGCTCCAAGGAGGCCACCATTGCTGTCAGTGTGGCCTGCATGCAGTGATGAGTAAGAGGAGTCCTGCAGCCACACCATGTCTCCATCCCCAGCGCTCCTCAAAGGTAGGCACCTGGCTCCAAGCCCCTCAGCAAACTGTGGATGTCATGGTACACCTGCTTCTGCCAAGCTATGAAGGTATGCCCGGATCCCTTGAGCTGCCCCCAGGTCCTAACTTAATTGATCTGGGCAGGCCCAGGAATCTGCACTGTAAAAAGCTTCTCTGCAGATTCCCATGTAAAAGAAATAATACTGGTTTACTATAGTTCAGAGGAGCCCTGGTGGTGCAGTGGTTAAGAGCTCAGCTGCTAACCAAAAGGTCAGCAGTTCAAATCCACCAGCCACTCCTTGGAAACCCTATGGGGCAGTTCTACTCTGTCCTATAGGGTCGTTATGAGTTGGAATCGATTTGATGGCAATGGGCTTTTTATAGATCAGAAGTCCTTACCCTCACCTGCACGTTTAGGGTTTCTACTTCATGTTTAAACTTCCCTATTGTTCTGACAAATACAACAATCATTTACTACAGGAGGAGAGCTCTTTAGAGGAAATCTAGAACTCTTCTTCAATAGAAAGACACTTTATAAGCACTTTTGTCTATTTTGTAATATTTTATAAATACCAGCATCAGTTTCTTTAAAACAAAGGGGTGTGTTCGTAGTGTTTGTGCTGTCACCTGCTGCCCTCTACACACAGAAAAGGGAGGATATGGGTGCTGGGCCTGGGGCGGGCTCCGCCCACTCAGGAGGCAGACAATGAACACACCCACCTTCTTCACAAGGCCTAGAGAGAAACGGTCGTGCGGAGCAGCACAGAATCCGGAGGGAGATTTGCACAAAGCATAAGATATCGCCGCCGTACAAAACCTGGAAAGAGAGACTACAGTATACAGATGTGATCCACATGAAGACGAGAGCGGAGAAAAAGTACATCTGAACTTTAGAAAGACGAATTTGGTGAGTTCTGGATGGGCAGCCTGGATAATCAGTCCTCACGCCAGTGAGACCCATGAACCAGCCACTCCCCTGCGAGCTTAGCCCCCTGCCCCAACGGGCACAGGCATGGGGACACATGGATCGTGGCAGATAAAAGCTGTGTTCACTGCACGTGAGGTGGGTCGACATATTCAGAAACAAAAATGAAAATCAGACATGCCGCGGGGACACAGAGGGCAACGACTATCCTGGGGGACCCAGCTGCACCACTCCTACAGTCATGTAAAAAGGGCTCTTCACCTGCGTCAGCACACCCCACTGCCTCACCTGATGCGGTATGCAGTGCGAGAGAAAGACAGGCTCAGACTGAGAAAAACGCACTGTGTAAGAAGGTGACTGAGCTTCGTGGCAGCCTTGTCTTCCACTCCTGGCACGACCCCTCTGTCTAGATCCATGGCCAGACTCACAGACAGACACAGGATCACAGGAGTGGTTGTGGCCACCATGACATCGAGAAAACGCTCAGTGACGTGGACAGTGTTTACAATACACTACTAACTTTAAAAAAGGCTAAGTAACAGGATCTCATCTTTGTAAACAAAGACACCAACACACATGCGCACACTCATTCACAGGACCACACTCAAACACACCCACACTCTTACGCACATACATGCACACACTCATATGTACAGCATGAACCACGGAAAGATGTGTCAGGTGCTTGTAGGGTCTGTCCTGGGTGGCGCAGTGCCTGCAACACTGCACAGGGCGCAGGTGCCGTCAGGGAGGGTAGTGGCTGCTGCAGGCGGGGACTCACCTCATGCAAAACAGCAGGGACTTCCCGGTCCTGCAGGGCAGCAGGCCATCCAGGAAAGAGGCCACAGAGAACCCCTGAGCAGAGGAGGGTAGGCCCACGTCCACGTGTGGCAGCATTGGCCCCAACTCGCTCAGGTGGACAGCCAGCGCAGCCAGCCCCACCAGGTGGGGGGTGTTCAGGCAGGGACCCTGGAGTGGACAGAGGGGACATGCCAGGAGAGAAGACCACACACACTGTGCAGCCATTGCCCCGTGTAGGACTCTTGAACAATGTCGCAGCCCTCACTCTCGGAGGCTGGGCCAGGATGGCCAAGTGACCTCACCCTCCATGCAGGGAGACCACAAGCTCACCCAGAGCTGGACCTCCCCAAGGAGGTGCGGTGCCCTCTCCAGGTGGGCAGTGGTGAAACAGATCCCTCAACACACTGATCCACTTCCAACTCTACACCCCTCGGCCGAGGGCGCGCTTTCATGTCTGAGCGCTGGCCTGGGGCAGCCCCATGCAGGACTGTACCTGGTGAAGTAGCAGCTGGCACAGACGTGTCAGCACTGCAGGCAAGAGTGCACGCCCACATAGTAGCTTCACGAAGAGTGCTGCCCAGGGTCCCTGCCTATGGACAGAGTGTGGCAGCAGTGAGTCAGACAACCCTCCCTCACACAAAGGGAACAGGCCCTGCATGACTAACATCTGTGTGTCCCCACATGGTTACTGGGTGTGGCCCTGGCCCACTCATGCTGGAAGGACAATGGGACACTGAGGTGAGGGCAGTGAGTCTGCAGGCAAGAGCTAGGGGCAGCGTTCTGTCCCAGAAGGAGGGCAAGCTCCCGCCTGAGCTTGGATGAGGGGATGCATGCTATATGAGGGGACCTCTGGGCAGAGGCAAAGCCCTGGCCCCCAAGGAGCTGCTGCACACATTACCTCTGCAGGGGGGCGAAGCTGGAGGCGGCCACAAGGCTCTGGCAGAAGCAGGTGAGCAGTAGGCCCACGGCCTGGGAGAAGACATGACAGGTGTTAGGCTGCCACCTGCGCATGGGGCCAAGAACGTCATCTCACACCCCAAGGATGGGCCACGCCACAGTTTCCAGTCGGGAACCACAGGCCAGGTCCGGCCTTGTCTGCCCTACTGAGTACCTGAGGCCACAGCCACAGCAGCTTGTTGTCTTTGTAAAAAACATGACTACCCTTCTCTAAATACACACAGGTCAGCAGAACAGAGCGTCACTCACATCCCACATACATCCCACTTGCAAAGCAAACAAAAACGAAGATGCCCTGCACACCTAACGCCTCTGCACATGCCCACTGCACCCACAACCCCACACACACCTGCTCGGGCTTCCCGAGCTCTGAAGTAGGAACATGAAGCTGGATCTCTGGCACCTTGACGCTGTCCTCACTGGGGTCCAGGGCAGTGCGCAGCTTTTCAGAGATCGTGGCAATGTGGGCAGACACAACTGCAAACGAGCAAAGATGGGAGGGAGGCTCAGGAGGGGGGCTGAGACCACGCTGCCCGCTGACAGCACAGCCCCATCTCAAGTGGGCCCCCTCATCCCTTGCTCCCCAGAGCAACCCATCCCCTCTCAGAGGGTGCGATGTTCTCCACCAACCCAGCTTGCAGAGCAGGTGTTTTCTCATTGCAGGTGCGCTGGCAATTAGCCTGAGGACATGTGCCCCCTGCGCCACACACAGACTACTCAATGTTGAGACAGCAGGGGACGTGCATTAGTCACTGCACCACAGAGCTGGCAAGCAGCCAATGGCCAAGAGCTCAAGCCACCACAACACACCATGTGGACCTTCCTGCCATGACCATGGCAGATGCCCAGCCTACGGCATCCTCACCGTCATGCCGCACAGGGTCCACCATTGCGGCTCTGAGCCCTCCCAGCGCAGCCTCAAGTGCGCCCAGGGCTCCGCTGGCACAGCTGGGCTCGGCCTCTTCTACGGGGGCTGCAGAAGAGATGCAGGAGGAACACTGTCACTGTGGGCCCTTTGTCCATGTGCAGAGTGCAGCAGATGCCTCCTGGTCCTCCATGCTGATGGCCACCACTGGAGTCTCCAAGTGGCAGTGGAAGCCCCTCTCTGAGTAGGACATTTATGGATGATTACAGGGAAAGCCGCTCATGTGGTACCACCACCACGAGCATGTGGGCCATGGAGAGGCAAAGCACTGACCCCTGATGCCCAGCGCTGTGCCAGGGGCAGGACAGTGTGTCACCAAGCCCATCTCTCTAACAGGACATTAGGAAACAGACCAAGAAGGAGTCCAGAAGAGACGATGCCATCTCTTCCCGTCACTCTACAACACTAACCAGCTTTACTAAAAGAAATGGGATAAGAGCACATATTTTCAAAAGAAGATGTGTTGTTCAAACCTTCAAGAGAGCATTTATGTTACTAAAAGGAAGATACACTGCATGTTTGAGAAGTACAAGTTCCAGTTCTAGTGTTGCTGGAAAGAAGCATCAGGAATCAGCATGCCTCACCTGGCACACAGTAGCCCTCATGTGAGCTCAACCAAGTGAAGCCAAAAGTAAGCAGGAATTTAAAGGCTTCTCTTCATAAGCCTTATGTGGTGCAACTGATCGATTTTTTGTGTGTGCTTTCTAGTCATGGTCTTATAACTCCCACCCAAGTGATTGGGTGGGACTATGCAAATAAGGCCGACTGTGACCCACCAAGGGGATTGGTCAGTTTTGCCTTAAAAGAAAGCCAATTCCAGAGCAGCGAGAGGATTCTACCACCACCAAGGAAGAACAGCCAGGAGTGGAGAGCGTGTCCTTTGGACCCCGAATCCGTGCCCTGAGAAGTTCTGGAACCAGGATAGAGAGAGGGAGAGCTTGAGAAGTGGTGGCAGAGAAAAAGCACCAGGAAAGACTGGCAGGGGAGACTGGCATGAGACAGTGCAGTGGGCTTCCTGGCCCACAGAAGGAGAATGCTGAGTGCCTTTGGTCAGGAGGCTTGCTGGCAGAGTGCCTCTGGGCACTGGTTGGCAGAGCTAAAAGAGCTTTGTAACACTTACCCAAGCAGGGCAGAGGCCAGGCTGAAGGGCTGAGGGCCAGAGAGAGACCTGCCTGCAGGCATGGCTGAGAAGAGCTGTCCTGATTGAAGAATTGTATCCTGAGCGTTCCTAAACCTGAACTGTAACCTGTCATTTGCCTAATAAACCTCATAATCATGAGTATTGTCTGTGAGTTCTCTGTGGCCATTACAATGAATTATTGGACCCAGCAGAGAAGCAGACAGTGCCTTGGGAGGGATGGCTGGTGTCAGAATTGGTAAAGATGGAGGAGAGAGGAGGCACGTTTGACCTCCGCCTCATAGGAATCAGCCTTGGGCTGTTGATCTTGATTCTCCTTCCCCCTTGTGAAACTAAAGGAGGTCAGATACTGCCTCCACGCCGTTTTTATACCCTATTGAGTAAACTATTACAAAACAGTTTAGAAGTTCCCCAAAAGTAGAACCCTGAGGTAAGAGGGACTGCCTGGTGAAAGAGGGTGTGTGGTCAGGGAGGATCGTGTGGTCAGAGAGGACTGTGTGGTCAAGAGCAGACAGCTCTGGGAGGGTGAGACCTCACACCTTGCTGACTGGTCCTAGCACTCCCAATGCCTGAGCACAAGCGTGAGCAGCCTCATACTGGTGCAAAGAGGAGCGCGATCTCTGCACCTCCATCCTCTATTCACAGTCTCCTGGTTTCCATGGCTGTGTTCACCTAAGCTAAGAGACAGGAGTCTCAGCACATGGAGTGAGAAAACGGGCTGCGTGGCAAAGCATCCCAGTCAGACCCCTAGCCCTGTGGCTGCAGAAGGGACTCAAACAAGCAGACAGTGGCATCACTGAGGGATGAGACCTCTCACGACCACCCCTCACCTGTGCCCGTGCTACCAGGCAGGGCCTTGGAGAACGGGCGGGGTGGCAGGACCCCCAATGACAGCACCCACTGCTGCTTGAGCCCACACCTCACTGACTCAGTTTCATAGATTTGATCTCCATCTGCATCTCTATTTCCTAGAAGCAGAAAAATCCCAAATTCACACTATAGAACCAAACTGTCTAATGGGCACACCATGCACATCTCTCCTGCAGCAGCTTCAGAGGCACCCACAGCCATGGCACAGGCAGCCTACCTGCACTAACAGGACAAGCAGACAGAAATCATGTGCACCTCGGTGTGGCACAGGCGACAAGTGACAAAGCGGGGTTTTGTGTACACAGGACGCTTTCCGAGCAGTGCAGAGGCAGCCAGACCTCGGGCCCCCAAGGCACAGGCCAGTGGCTGACGGTGCTGTGAGGGAAGAGCTGCAAAAAGAGCCCCGCCCAGTGCGACGGTGGAGCCCAGCAGTTGGCAGCCTCCAAAGCCACACTCTGGCCCGTCTAGTGATCCAGAGTGATCAATGAGATCATGTGACCCAGTGTGATTGTGAGATCTAGTGTGATTTAGTGATCCAGTGAGACCCAGTGTCATCTAGCAAGATCCAGTTTGGTCCAGTGTGATCATATCATCTCGTGAGACCCATTGAGACCCAGCGAGATGAGTCACTGATTTGATGTTCTAGGATTAGGGAGATGGAAGGCACGAGGTGGACTGACTGAGCTGACCATCAATTGACCTTACTTTCTTGTTTCTTCTCCTCAGCAGTGGAACAGGCTTGGCGATAGTCCAAGTACAGAAACAGAGGAATTTTATCTGCTCTGGATGAGAAGAAAACACGAAACCCAATCAGCTCAACTGTAGCTCAAATTAATTTTCAAGCTTACAATTCACAAACTATTAAAAGATAAAAGTAAATGATACACTAAATTTAAATAAGTTATACAACAGTAAGTACAACACGATCCTGTTTTCAGAAAAAACATTAAGTATGCACGGATTAGATATGGATTTTAACTGCACGTGGTGTTTCATAGCATGTCATACACAAATAACTGGAAAGCCATACCACAAAATGCCAACAGGGGTTATCTTTGGGTAGTGAGAGAAAAAATTATTTTTATAACCTCCATTCAATTTTTAGTAATTTCCAAATTTTAACAGTAAACTTACAATACTTTTAACAAACAACACTAAGAAAAACACGCAATCAATGCCATTAAAAGAACCCAGAATTATAAAAACAAAGTCCCATGATAAGGATCTGTAAGCACCAGGCAGCCCGTCGATGTTGTCTGTGTGATGCAGCGTCAGCTCAGTTAGGACCCCTGCACCACCAGCATGGTCTGAGAGAATGGAAGGTCTGCACAGATGCACCGCCAACACAAGCAGGACTGTCACCCCATTTGCATGCGAGGTCTCCAGTGGGCACTGGAGACACAGGGGAGACATTCAACAGGAGCCTGCACACTGTGACAGAGAAGATGCAGGGGAGACGTGCGACGGGGTCTGTGCACCATGACCAAGAAGACGTGCTGGAGATGCAGGGGAGACGTGTGACAGGGGCCTGCAGACCATGACCAACAAGATACACTGGAGACGCAGGGCAGACGCACAACAGGGGCCTGCACACCACGACTAAGAAGATGCACTGGAGATGCGTGACGGGCCTGGGCACTGTAACTGAGAAGACGCGTGGTCCAACCACAGACCTAGCTATCCTCCATGCCATGACAGACCCTGGAGAACCAGAGTAAGGCAGGGACTCCAAGCCCTGAGGGGAAACTGAGGTGAACAACCTTAACCAACTAATCTCAACCAACTAATTCTGAGCCAATATTTTACAAATAAGACACACACATGATGAAATGATTCTCTGCATTACTAAGAAGCCATCAGGACCACAGAGTGGACTTGTGTTCTGCATACCTCTTTAGGGACTCGATGAAGGCCTCACGGGGGTCGGGGATCTTGGGCAGCTGTGAGGAGAAGAAAAAAGATGGGGTTCCAAACAGGGCACTTTCTTCACAGATGGCCACGCGCTCACAGAGTAGTATACTGACCACACGCGGCGTGAGCAGGGCAGGGAGGAAGTGGGACAGGTAGTAGGGCCTCCTGAATATGCTGCAACACAGAGTAGCAGGCATGTCAGACGTGTGCAGTCAGGGCAGAGAACCCAGTGAACATCACGTGATGCGTCGGGGGTACCAGGCTAACCGCGTTTCTGGGATGGCATATTGAGGGTAAAGTGATCTTTTTCACTGTTTTGGAACATATCAGCAAAGGACAGTCTGTGCCAGTGACAACTCCACAACCCTGGGACGTGGCCCCCTCTGCACCCCCGGCCCCATGACCCTAGGACATGGCCCCCCTCTGCACCCTGGAAGGGCTACAGCTTGTCTCATCTTGGGCCACTGTGGATGTCTTCCTTGGAGCTGATCTCAGTGTCCTGGGAACCGGGATCAGTTCAAATTCCTCAGCATCAGGTTCTTAAAAGGCTGCTCCACACAGGCAGCAACTGGATTTCAAGGTGTCTGAGGACCAAACCAAATTTAGTGAAATTCTACTGTTCAACCCTTACACTGTCTTCGTATTGGTCACTGTACAGCATTAGTAAAACACCATTGCTGCTGCTCGTGGGACCCATCCCCATCCATCAAGCCAGACGGGCCCACAGGCTGTTCTGAAAGAAAACATTTCAGATTCACAAAGCCCAGTTCTCAGCCTCCACCAGGTGCAGGATCCCAGCTCAGATGCACAGCACCACCACAAGCAGAGCATGAGCCAAGACCCATGATAAGGCAACACGTGTAGGCGCTGCACCGGCGTCCAGGGCTGCATGCCCACCTGGCCTCCATCACAGCAACCGGGATCCTCCCCGTGTGCGTGAACACCTCAAGAGCCTTCTCGACGTCCTGGAGTGCCTGGCTGTGGGGCTGCCCATTGGCGTGGGAGGGAAGAACAGAGAAATCAGAAGAAAAGCCTGCCCCTTGTACCTCTGCACGACATGAAGGTAAATGCCAACGTGATGAGGGTATAGCACAGTGAGTTGTCCAGGCATTTACACAAACCTCTGAAGACCGAAGGAAGGGGTTCTCTTGCTGCTTCCTGCCCTTGGAAAGCTCAGACCCAGGGTTGAGAGGACCCTGGGTGACAGCCCACACCCTCGGGAGTTCTGTGAGTGAGGGGCTCAGGACCACTTTTTCTGACTGCACCCCTTGGCTATCTCCGGCCCCCTGCCCAGCACCCAGTTCTGTGCTCCCTTCTCGTCTCTCGTTTCTGCCCCATCCCCCCAGAGAGTAGAGTCCTAATCAAAGAAGATTTTCAGATGGAAAAGAGATTTAAAACAGTTATGAAATGGTACCTTCTGAACAGCAAAGCATTTTAAATGGAAAGTTCCATGAAATGTTTACGTCTAGTACCACACAGCACTAATGAGGGTTCTTCAGCCGACTTGTAACATTAAGGTACAAAAAGTCTTAAAAAACTACAAAAAGTTGTTTTTACCAGTGACAGGCACGCAATATGATTTATAAACACAATTTACGTTGTCCTTGTCCTTCAGAGACAAGTACAACCCCTCCTTCTAGCCCAACGCAAACCAAGGTCTCTGAGGACAACACATCTGAGCAACCCCAGCAACCGAGCCCTCTGAGGACAACACATCTGAGAGGTCACAACTTGGGGCCCCAGATAAGCCTGTGCGTTGGCACTTCCTCCCAACAGTACTGACTCCTACATGGGAAGTCACAGCACAAGAAGCGGGGTACCTGTCACCAGGGACACACCAGCCCCAAGCCTGCACAGGTCCAAGTATCCACTTCATAGTGCCAGAGGACGCAGGCGGAGCTTCACAGGTCACTCTGGGTTGAGGGAAGACAGTGCGAGCCACCCCCGCACCCTCTGGAGCTGAGCTAGCTCACCTCTGTGGCGCTGCCCGCTGATGAGAGGTCCTCATAGAGCCCCATGTCTTCTATAGAAACCTTTGGAGAAGACAGACAGCAGCTTGAGCACATGGCGGCAGGACACCTGTGGGTCAGGGTCCACGGGCTGTGTGACTTGCCTTGAGGTCGGCCATTCGCGTCCGGGCCAGTGCGATGTAGTCGGTGAGCAGGGGACGCAGCCGCTCTGGGACCAGGGGTGGGTGGAGCAGATGCACCTGAGGAGAAGACACAGCAGGTGAGGGCCAGAGAGCTCACTCCCAAGCCCACAAGGACGCAGGGGGCAGGACGTGACTCTGAAACCCACAGCTACACAGGCAGCTGCCTAGGCTGGGACCAGAAAGGATGCCAACTCAGCTGGCCCTTGGTGCCCATGGCAAGCTGGCTACAGTCATGTGGGGAGGGTTAGTGCTCTGCAGAGGAGCCCCACAGGGACAGGGAGGGCAGAAGAGATGGCAACCCCATCCAGGAGAGGCATCAAGGCCAACTCCAAGTGTTTGACCCCAGAAGGATAATGGAATCAATGACAAAAAAGTCAACTCCTGAGGGCTGCTCTGATGTTTTTTAACAGGTGGTCTGAGGCCACAAGATTGACAATACACACTGGGGAGAGAGGGCTGAGAGAGGTAGAGGAGGCTGAGAGAGGAGGAGGGGGCTGAGAGAGGAGGAGGGGGCTAGAGAGGAGGAGGGGCTGAGAGGAGGAGAGGCAGAGGAGGAGGGGCCTGAGGAGGAGGAGGGGCTGAGAGAGGAGGGGGTTGAGAGAGGAGGAGGGGCTGAGAGAGCAGAAGGGCTGAGAGAGGAGGAGGGGCTGACGGAGGAGTCGGCACTGAGATGGAAGCAGAGATGCCCCTGGCAGTTGGGGTACATCTTCCCGACTCTGTTCCTTGCAGGTAAAAAGACTGTTTTTTAAAAACAAAGCTGGGTCACACTGCACTTGCTGTTCCTGCTCCCTGGGATGGTGACACCTGCTCTCAGGCACCTGGGTCCACTCTGACCAGTCACCAATGTGGTGATGACGTCTTGATTTACAGGGACGGACACAGTAAGGTCTCTGGGGTCTCACTGGTTCCACTGACACTCCGCCTGGAATGCACCCCTGTGTTATCACAAGCTGAAGAGGGGATGGCCTGAGGCCTTTCAGACTGGCAGGGACCACATCTGCAGTAGATGGATGTACGCAGGGAGCGTGGTGGCTCTTACCTTCAGGTACTGGGGGGGCTCAAAGGGCACAAGGTCCGACAGGAACGTGAAGAGAAACACTAGGGCCTTCTTGCTGCGGCTGTGGGGGCCACGGGCACTGCCAAAGGTGGCCTGGAGGGGACACAGGTATGACATTGGCAGTGACCCTCCGACCTTTGCTGTTGTGACTGACCGCGCCAATGGCGACCTGTCACAGGAACGAGTACTGTGGCCCTTCCTTTTCGGTGACTGTGTTAACTGCCCTCGTGAGGCGTCTTCATTCAGCAGATAACAACACATAGTCACTTGTGAAGGCACCTCGACTCATCAGAAGAGTGATCCAGCAGGCATGAAGCCAGGGTCACCTGGGCAACCAGCTCTGCAGATCACACGGACGAGGAGCAGTGAGTGTACCAGAGCTGACCCGGATCTGAGGCAGCCCTAGTGCTGGGCAGAGGGAGGGAGGGTCTTGCGTGGGGTTGGCCCAAGTCGCCCATGCCTGGAAGAAAAGTGTGAGGACCAGCGGCCCCTCCCTCGTCCACAGCCACCATGGGCATCACCCTGACATCATAGAGCTAGGGAGAAGCACGAGGAAATAAAAGGAATAAAAACAAGTAGATGATACAACGACCACATATCTTCTTCCAGACACTGGACAGACAGAAGCTCAGCTCAGCCCAGCAGCCCATAACCGCCCACCTCTTGGAACCTGAAGATGGTGAGCTTTCAACACAAGGCAACCCACTGAGGGTAGTGGCAGGAAACCAGACTCCTAGGGAGAACTGGGTGGGTTTTTAAATGACAAGTTCATACACGGTCACAAAAAAGAGGAATGGGGTACAAGCGGCCTTTAAAGTGGCCTTCTAAAGAACCCCGTCGGAACATCTAGCTCAACTGGCATGACACAGCTTATAAAGACAATGCTCTACATTCTACCTTGGTGAGTAGTGTCTGGGGTCTTAAAAGCCTGTGAGCGGCCATC